ACTCCCCGCGCAGCGCCCGTGCCTGCTGCCCCAACCCAGCCGCTTCACGTTGTGCAGCGTTTGCCCGGCCCTCCCCAGCCAGCCCGGGCAGCGCAGAGCCTCAGTGCTGGTGCTGGTCTGTTGCAGGCCCTGAGCGAGGAGATCAAGAGCATGCACGGACTGCGCATCTTCACCTCCACCCCCAAACCCTGATGGCTCTCCTGGCCCCGGCCAGTCAATAAAGATGCTCTCAGCAAAGGGGCTCTGCTGATGCTTGGGGGCAGCTGCATTTGCCTCCTGCCTTCAATTAAGGCACCTGTGTGGGGTTGGAGGCTGCACCTGGGGCAGGGGAGGGGGCAGAAGGAGAAGAGCTACCCCCCCTTGCTCTGAAAGAAGAACAGGAAGGAGAAACTTTATTATTGCCTTGCCACACAGTAAGGTCCCTCCCTTGGCCCCCACCACCCCGCTGGTAACTCAGCAAGCTGCTCCTCCAGCTCAGGCAGGGGCCAGGCACTTCTTTTCCTCCCCCCACAATGCTTCCAGAGGGGAGTGTAAGGCTCTAAGTGCACCTCATCCAAAAATAAGCTGAGCCACTCTGCTCTTGCTCAGGGGTAGCACACCCTGGGCTTGGTCAGGCTGCTTGCAGGCCAAGCGCTGTGTCTGTGGGGGCCAGGGAAACCTTGGCTCCTGGGAGTAGAAAACAGCCGTGCAGCACTCAGAACATCACCCCATGGCTGCAGGAAACAAAACCTGCTCCGAAGCCAAGTCCCGCCCTCAACCAGACTGTAGTTCTTGCCAGACTCGAGCACATAGCCTAGAAAACCAAGTGGACTACACGGGGCAAGTCACCACAGCGCAGCCAACAACTTTTCCAACAACACAGGCTGCTGCACAGCAGAAGCGATGCTTGGCCTTGGAGCGCTGTCCGGTGTCTCCGGGCTTGCGTCGCTGAAGGCGAAGTGTAGAAGTGGCTGGCGTACAAAGCGGAAAGGAGCAGCCGAAAGGGTCCTCCCAGGGAAAGTTTATCTGTCCTTAGAGCCCAGCTTCTCAATCAGTTCCTGCAGAGGAGCCAACTCCCGCCTGTCAATCAAGTTGAATTCCTGGCAGGAAAAAAAACAACACAAAAACTCAAGGTGGCTCTCAAATTGCTGCTGGAAAACACATCCAGCCACCATCCACGTGCTGGAAACTGGCCGTGTTGATGCATGCCGGCTCCCGATAGAGCCTAAACAGGCATTACTGCAGCAGCCACCTCTCCTGTTTCTCTGTGGAGGAATTCTATCAAGACAAAAAAAGCCCCTTTCCTGCTGTGTTGCCACAAGTACCATGCTGCTCTGCACAGTGAGTCGCATGCGTGGTCACAGAACAGGCTGTTAAAATACTGGTGAGGAAAAAAAAAAAAGTATGGTTGCTGCTTCCAAGTCAATTCTCATGCTACAAAACCCCCAAGTTCTCCAAGCCTGGTTTCTTTTGCTGTAGGTCAATAGCTAAAACACAGGAAATTCAAGCATTTGCAGCCAACTGGGCCATGCTTCCTGCAAAAAAAAAAAAAAACAACCACCACAAAACCCAACACCACAAACCCACAGTGCCACAGCTGCACAGTTCACACAGTACAGAGGGTAGATTTTCAAAGAGCAAGGAGGTGCGTAAAATCCAACTCCCTTTAACAGCAAATGGCGAACAAGAAACCCCAGCAGCAGGCGCCTGGCTGCTGTTTCGCAACTCACCTGCACAAAGAAGATAAAGTGCTTGAAGGAGGTGTTGAGGTGGGCCTCCTCCTGCAGCCGCATGACAGAATCGAAGTGCTGGTGGTAGATGTGGGCATACACACGGAACAGCCGCTTCAGGATTGTCTTGGCCACCGACATGAAGTTCTTGGGAAAAGGGACGCCTGAAATGCACCAACGCGCATGGATGAGTCCTTCAGTTCAGTCAGAAGTACCAAAGCGAGACGTTCTGGCAGCATCTCGGTCTTGTACGCAAGGCCCATCGCGTCACGCAGCCGCGCTTACCGATCTTTGAAGGGAAAAGCGTTTCATCATCCAGCTGGTCCTGCACCCATGTCATCAAGTAATCGATGTATTTCGGAGCCGAGCATTTGATCGGCTTCTTTATGTTGGTGCCATCTGCCCAGTGGTACTCGTACCTGCGGGCAAAGGGAAGGAAAATAAATCCTTTGCTCCAAGAGGAAAAAGTTACATTTCCAGGCCCCATGGCTTCCTCCTCATCTCAATAAGGAGTGATGCTGCAACGCTCGTACTCCTCAGAAGCGACGAGAGCAGTGCTTTGCCTTACTGAGTTTCTCGGGCAGAATGCAACAGAGTCAGAATTAACACCTCCATCCTGACCGCCACAGCAATCGCCCTCGGGGTTTGACCCTCAAAAGTAAACTTCAGCTTTGCAGGAACCTCCTCCGACATCAACATTTCCTTAGAACAAGACAAAAACTGACCAAAGGGGAAGCGTCAGGGCCATGGCTCACCATCTGAATTAACTCCCCTGTGGCTGTCAGACACCTCCTGGATTTGGCACTCCCTCTCCCCTCACACAAGATGGCCGACTTCCCCCGGGCTTCACATTAGCCAAAGGCTTTTGGAAGCCGCTGTCTCGACTCAACATGCGTGCTTATCAATCCCACGGCTCCTTTGAACCAGGGCAGATGTTGACTCCGATGCTACGTGACAACACAACCCATTTTCTCTGCGATCTTTTGCAAAATCCTTCAAAAGCTGGGGGAAAACCCCCATGTTTCGACTGTTGCCTCTTCACCGACAAGTGAAAACAAACGGTGCCACTTAAACAGGAAGTTGTTACAGGAAATGCCGCCAAATATAGAAACAGAACTTGCAATCTAGATACTTCTGGGTAGAAAAGCAGGGCAGGATGTTACAAAGCACCCTACAAATACTGCCCTGAAAACCAGAGCCTCTAGCAACCTTACAAACAAGATACCCTGCTGCAGCTTCACCTCCGCAAAATACACAGTGCAGAAGGAACACGTAATATTCTCCCCATGGGTATTCACAGCTCCTAAAAACAACAAGGTGCCCCCAATATGCCTTTGCTACTTCCTTTCAGTTAGCTAAACATGCCACCTGAAAACCACCCGCTGTGTTCCTCGCCTGCATGACGAGGGCCAGCGCAAATCAAGGGGCGACAGATCCTAAAACCGCCTCGGGACAACACGCGCTCCGTGCCCTTTCACTGCCTGTGCCAGGATAAGCACACTTCAGGCCAGGCCAATTCAACAAGGGCGGATGATACCGGCCTCGATGGGGCATAGGGATCGGCGGGACCCAAAAGACACTTGGCCGTTCCCTACTGCACATACCAGTCTCTATAAGCATGAGCTTCCCTTCCCAGCTTCAACTCTCTGCAACGACAGCGTCGGGCTGCTCTCTCATCCCTGTGTGGCCATTGCACGCACCATACTGTAAACCCAACCTGAGGCTTCGCCTGCCTTGTGTCATCTCGCGTCCCGTCCCATGCTGGTAGCAGCAACATTAGAATTGCTCACGCTCAGAAAAACCACGCTACGGCCTCTCAGAGCACCGGCTGCAAGATGGCACATCGAGAAGTTATTATAAGACCTTGACAACAAGACCAGACTCTTCCAGTCAAGTTAGATCTCTCATTTTCCTTGAAACAAACCATTTCAACAACACATCTTTTCAGCTACTGAACACCACAGGGACCTGACCAACGGCGGGGAGGGGGAGATCCCCACGCATGCTTCCCCTGGACAGATATTCAACACGCCAGACAAACTGACGGCTACCGATGCCACGCAGTCTCCCTAACAGACGTCATGGCTTCGCGCGTGTGTAAATGACACTGGCAGAGCACGATGCTGTGCCTCGACCCGATTTGGACACATCCCATCCTCTTTTTGGCTTCTTTCTACACATGCTCAAGCAATCCACACACCCACCTACTTCCCCACATTTAAATGGCGGCTGTAGACCTCAGTAAACTTCTTACCTTGGTCCTGCAGACATGACTGGACAGCTTGCCTCCGTGCAGAACTCCGTAATGGTCCCGTACAGCATGTTGATTTGGTTGAAGAAATCCACCGCTGGAAAGGAAACGCATCAAGTTTACTCAAAGTGCAAATGCAAAGCGGACCGGAGCACCGCTTCGCGCTCGTTTAGCTCCCACAGCCTCTGAGGATTGCTGTGGCGGGGGTGAATGTGCCACAAAACTCTCAGCAAAAACAAACATCCCCCTTCCGTATGACATCACGTGGCCGATGGCTTCGAGACGTTTTGACCATCTAGGAATTTGAATGGCTCTGTCAATTTTTCACCGTCAGGCTACTGCCCCTAGCTGATTTGTACGGCATGAAGCTCCACTTAGCTTTCCATACCTTGAAAACGGCTCCTTTAGGTTCCAGGCACCTTAAAAAAATGACAGTACCTCAGAAACCTGATTTTGATAATACAGGAGACCTTGCTTAGGTTGAACACTTGTGGCCTGGCTTACTGTTTTCCATTGCTCAAAACTACTTTCTCCTCTAACCTCCAAAGAAACAAAATTCAAGGCCAGGCAGAACAACTGCTAAAAGCAAGATAAATTTGTAGTATTTAGCTTTTTAAACTGTGCACACAGCAATAATAAAAAGAAAATAGGAAAAAAAGAAACTCCACAAACCTAGAGTTCAGTGGAGAATACAGTTCCACTTTTTCCCTGGACTATTCACTGCCACCATTTTTGCAGCCAACAGTGCTAACTTTGTAATTCCAAATATCGATACTTGAGGCTTACTCCCAAGTACAAAAATAACCATTCACAAACCTAATCACCTTTGTGAGTCTGAACTCAGACAAACCCACCCCAAAACCACAACGGTGTGGGTTTGTTTCTCGCTTTTCGCATGCTTCCGGAGCACGATGCCCCTTTGACGCAGGACCTGTCTGCTGTCGGCATGTCACGCCGCTTCCTTTCCTTTTATCCCAACTCGCTTACCTAAACAAAGCATGCCTGGGATAAGAATTTCATTTGGGCAAGTTCTAGATTCTTCTAACTATTAAAAAAAAAAAAAAAAAGATTTTTTTTTTCCCACTCCACGTCCACCCTCTGGCCGATCCCTCTTTCATAGACTTACTGTTAACTGCGATCCACTCGTTAAGGTCCTCTCCCTCCGGCAACATGACTGCTTGTCTAAGGTTACCGCTCCCCAGAGTCGCTTCCGCATGTTTCAAGAGTTCATACTGATGGGAGCCTTCGGGAATATTCTTCTTGGGTTTGAAAGTTTTCGAAGATCGACTCCCACTGACAAGAAAGAAAACATTTCCAGTTAGTCCCCTTCCCAGAAGCATATCTCCTGTTACCCCTTGCCATCCAGCACTTTTAACTGGGGTGACACCAGCCCTTCCCCATTTCGCCTGCCATCAGGGCGAACAGATCCTACACGCAAGCCAAAGCGTTTCGGTATCACAAAAAAGTACTCTTTCCTCTTTTACCTACCCTTTTTAAAAATCACAAATGTTCGGTGTAAAGGCCCAAAGACTCATCAAGCAACAGTTGCTTTGGATCACAGAAAGCAAAGCCCACGTAACTCCATCAGGGAACAAAACGAGCTGCCGACTGCCACTAGGTCAGTTTGACAGTGGCAAATATTACACACTCAGCACTCGAACACATCGTAGGAAACCGCTTGCTAAAAATAGCGACTTAATAACTCCAGCCCTGAAATGCAAATTGTCATCGTAATCTTCCCTTGCTGCGTCGTACCGTTAGCTGTGCTCAGCAGCCGAGCCATTGCACAGCTCCTCATGCAACTCCCTCCGTCCTTCCAACGGGGCTGGCAGCACCGCAGCCTCTCCCCAAACAGCCAACACTGCCAAAAACTGCATGTATTTCCGTACCTCTCAACCACTAAACATTAACTTTCAGACCCCTCCAGCTCTCTGCTTCCAATCGAGGGTGACTCAAATGGCAAGACAGCCAGGGCCAAAGCACGGCTGAGGGGAAACTGGCTTCTTCAGCGCGTGCTGCTCGGCATCTCCGGCATCCTGCCCCCATTGCACACAACCGGAGGCTTTCGGCCAGCAGGCGCCTCATGGCAGCTTCCTGGTGCAACCTTATGGCTTTGCACATTCCGTTTACGTGCAACACTCGGTGCGGAAATAAAAGGCCTTTAGATCCAGCTTGCTCTTGAACCAAACCACTACCTCCTGCTGCAGCCGAAACGCAGGCCCAGCACATTGCTGACCTAAGAGGCAAACCCAGTGCATCGTCAACCCTATGAAGATGCTCCCCAGCCCCTTATGCCACAAAACACCTCCAATCCTCATCCACGGCACCCACCAGGCCTTGGGAGCCAGGAAGAAGTGCTCTCATGCTTTACATCTACCCCACAGGTATGCAACAGCCCACTCCCTGTAACTCGTTAGAGATGTATTTTTTACACCACGTGCCTATAGGTTTACCAAATTAACAGCATTCCCCTGCAGTCAGGCCTGCCCAGCCTCACAGGAGAGCAGCCCCTCGCACAAATGCCAGCCGGCACTAAAAGCCAACACTCTTTGCACTGCACCAGCATTTGTCCACAAATTGCCCATGGTAAGGCCCACCCAAAGCCCACCCAGGTGGAAGCCCCATACTCATGGAATGAGAACCTCCTCTTTTCTGCCTCACCCCACACCCCCAGAGGCCCCTCCGAATTCCCAGGGCCTTCCGTGAAGGCAGAGCATCCCCGCAGACACCCCTACCCCCTCAAATTCTCCCCACCTAGAGGGGATTAACCCTCACAAAACAACCCCTCCCCAGAGCCTTCCCTCTAAGGCTGCTCCCCAGAAAGCTTCCCATGCCCTCAGACACCCCAGAGCCCCCGCACCATGGCACTCACCCACCTCCCCGCGGTGCCTGCCCTCCAGGGTCACCCCGCTGCCAGCCCCCCTCCACATCCCAGCCTGGGACCCTCTCTTTCACCCCAATGCTGACAGCCCCTTCCTCCAAGGCTTCCACCCCCCCAAAAAACCCCACCACACTCCCAGAGCTTCCTCCACAGTGACTACACTCCTCCTCCCCGTCTCCTCCTCCCAAAGTCTTCCTCGGCCCCTCCTCGTACAGCCCGGGGGCCTCTTTCCAAAACCAACCTCCCTCCACACGCGTCCAGCCCCCCA